ATCCTGGATATGAACACTGCTATCTTGAGCTGAACATGTCATTTGGAGGCAGAGTCTGCACAGTAGCAGTTGTGGAATGGAGCTGTGGTATTGAGGTGTTTGCTAAACCAATTATGAGTCAGTCTCATCCGTCAATTGTCAATTAATTAAAATCAAACTTACTGGAGAAAATGAGTACTTTAGACATCAGTGTGATAAAAACTACCTAAAAAACACAGAAACCCTCTTTGGGAAACTTGTATTTGACTTGTACTTTGACTCTTTGGTCCATGTCCCATTCACTGACATAAAGGAGGCAAGACTTATACTGAATCTAGCCACCCGTAATCAACACACTCCTTTTTGCTTTATTATTTGATAGCTTTTGATTGCAATATGCAACTTCATAAAGAGATGCCACTATCTGTGACACATTGAACCTTGGAGGCGCACACATATCACCCCTTCATGCCATTTTAGGAGAAATTTCATTGTAATTTTCCACAGATAATGTGGTTATGCTGTGAATCCTACTGAATTATCAAACGGCTCACAACGCACATCAAAATGGCATCAAATGCGAGCTGTAAAATCTGTGTTTGCTTTTGTTTTTGCACATTTTAATGAAGCGCGTCATAAGCTCATAATCACGCCACCTAGTCCCAACTCCCCTCCATTAAATCACTGCTAAAAGCTTGCCTACATTTTGACAATATCAGGTTAGTCTGGCTCTAATCTGCAGTCATAACATCAGAATTCCTTTCTATCTCACTGTGTGCTGAACACTCATCCGTTCAACAAATGGCTCACATCACTCTCACAGCACTGAATCACATTCCCTCTGTCTGCCTCCTCCACTCACTCTGATGTGGTCCTTACTCTAATGCATATTAGTTGAGGAAACATCCACTCTACAGCACCTTTTGTCTTAGCGCTTCCTGTTTTGGTCTCAAGCCCTTTCATCATACTCACTAACTTATGCTCAGGTACTTTGCTCGTAACAATAAAAAACAGTTACTGGATTTGTTTTGCAGACAGAAACTGAACATTTGTATTTGCACTTTCTGGCTGTGATTATTACACATTTCTAAATGTACTGGATTTTGCACAACTGTTTTACTTTCAAGTCACATTTAGCTTGACCTTTCTCCCCTGTGGGTGGACATGTTGCATCAAGCCAAAGAGCAGCCTTCCATTCAAATCCTGTATTCAGTTCCAAAAAAACTATTTCTAAAAGAAACACCCTGAGATTGTGAATCTACCACATTAACTTCATATAAAGACATACGACAGGTCTCAACTTCCTTTATCCAGAAATGAAGCTAAAATATCCTGGATACAAACAGTGATATCTTGCACATTTGGAGCCAGAGTCTGCGCAGCAACGATCAGGGGATGTAGCCACGGCAACATGGTCCGGCCAATACATCTACTTGAACAATTGTGAATCGGTCTCAGTTGTGATATTATCATGTTTCACCCTTTTTTCATAGCATCAAATGATTTTCTGGTCCATGTCACTTTGCCTTCCTTTTGTAAACAATCATATCGACCATTTTCAGATGCAGTTGGAATACCGAAAGCGTTTATATGGAAAATCGATACACATATAAAAGTACGAGCAGTGTCCTCCATCAAACATTTTGTTTATTGAAATCTAAAATGACATTATAAAAAAAGTGTAGCAGTATGAGCCAGGTCATTTTTGACTCACTTCATATCCAAAAGAAAAAAATATGCAGAAAATGAGACACCACAAAGAAAGAACATCTTGAAAACATGAGGAAACCCTGCAGGATGGAATAAAGTCATTATGCAACTGAACCGATTTCCCCACCTTCTTGCAAGACCCAACTGAATGACATGCAGAAGCTTTTCACAGTTATTATAGAACTTATACACGGGCGCATTAGATAATAAGCTTTCATTCTAGTGACTGAATTTCTGTCCCTTTTTTCCCCTCTCTACTCTGTGGAACGAGATGTGCAGAACAAGTTGTCCATTTAAAAGCTGTAGGTACGCCATAAAATGTACAACTCAAATAAGTTATTTATGTGTTGAATCATTTATATTGTCAATAATGTTTCTTTACTCCAAATGGTTTTATTTGTGATGAAAAATTAAACGGACGCTAAAGCAAGTGGAGATATTTTAATGAATGTTTCTTCATGCATTAGTCTCCAGATATTGTAAGAATCTATACAGCAAAGTGCCACCAGCGTTATAGGATCAAATTCTACCGGGGCTGCACATGCTCCAAATGAAGGTTCACCACTGTAATGTGCTGTGAATAGAGGAGGTCGCCATCGGATTGCATTTTATTGATTTTATTTAAACAGGAAGTCCCTGGAGATAAGAAATCTCTCTTTCGAGGGAGAAATTCCTCATTATTTCTTGATGCATCTCCTAAGAATGTTTGACACAATTTTACATTGGTTTGTGCTGATATTTCAGTTTTGGCTCCATGAAGACAGCTAATACACAGAAAATATTTACATCAACATTTAAACGTATTACAGTGAAGAATGAAGAATTCGCCACACAGAGTGATTGAGGTATCATTTATTGTAAGTAAGCTTTGATTATGAAACAGTCTGCAGGGAGCATGATCACCAGTGATCAGGGTTTTTTTCTACATTACACTGCTTTGGTCCAAACTGTCAGCTCACTGTGGATCGACTGTTACAAGCCCGTCATTAATAAAATTATGTTAATTAAACAGCGTGAGCAATTTCCTAAATGGCCATCGTCTTGAATGTATTCACATTAATGTTTCTATTTAAGATACAACTTACACATCAATTACAGTCCTCTAGCAGTTGAATTATGGATAGTCAGGAAATTAGTACATTTATATTAGGCACAGAAGAGATTACAAGCCTCTGTGGTTTTGGACTTCACGTGAAATTATATCCTGCTGCTCTGTTACTACCACTATTGCTACTAATATAACTCCCAGTACTACTGCCAATGCCACTACTCCTCAGTTACAAGCCTTGTAACAATGTGAAGATTGTGCATCACAAAAAAACATCACTTATGTACATTATTGTGCCATTAATCAATCCAAAGATTCAGTGTGTACCAGTGATACACTTTCATAAATATACTATAAAGAATGCACATTTGCACCTGAAAACACAGGTCCACAAAGCCAGTGTTATACTTTCTGCATTGAAAGTACACAAAAACCAAGTAGAAATATCATGAAAGACTCAAGTCTTGCCTCTGGCAATGTGCACAAGGTTGGAAGTTGTGTTCTGACAATTTTACATGCCACTGCAAATGCTACCATTGTTGGGTGGCAGCCAGACAGATGTATACATGAATAGATGTACATTTATATAAAACAGCAATCTAGCTGCACAAAACAGCACTATAGTGTATATTTCATCTTATCTAAGATAAAGAAAAAAAGACTGGCCAAAATGAATGCAACAGATGCTCAGGTGTCCCTAACATGGGTTCAGCTCCAAAAACACTAGATCCTATTTTTCCCATGTTGCAACTCAGAAGGGTTTTAAATTTTCATTCTTGCCTTGAACCGAGTACACCAAGCAGAGGCCTTAGTCCAAAAATGTTTGCGTTCACGCCAAATCAAATGGGTACAAGGTCTCTGACGCAGAAGGGGCCCAAACTAAGTGCTTTAAAAGTATTCCAGAAATGTTATATGGTACTGAATGTACTCACAAAAGACAGACCTATCTACTGCTTATAGGAATCTTTGTCTGTCTATGTGGAAGGCATATCTCAAGAACTATTCCTCTTATGTCCTTTTCATTTGGCTTGTGTATTGTTAATGGCCCTTTGAAGTGCAGTGTTGAAATTTGGTGTGATTTGGACTAGCGATATCAGAAATATTAAGATCAACAAACTCTGAATAAACAGCAGCAGCGGCTGTGACTCGTCAACGTAAGTGACATTGTAAATCACAAGAACAGCCCGTTCAAAACATCTGGCGCATTCTCAACAACCCTAAAAACAAACCAGTTTGGGTTTGACGTACTGAGTCAAGCCTCACCAACTTTAAAATAAACAGGTGAACAGCTCTTGAAGCCCTGAATCTGCACTGCTGTCGAGTCAGGCAGCCAGTCTTTACTTGCCACGGCTCAAGGTCACTTTTACAGTTTAAGAAAGGAAGCTGCAACCAGCATTACCACAGGACAAGAGGCGCTGCACTAATTTTAAAAAAAAGTGAGTCTGATATTACCAGGAGAACCCTAGTAGAGGTCAAGCTCAAAAAATGCATCCTTTGATCCCCATGCAACTCAATACCATGTTTGATTAAGCTGTCAGAATAAACTAATCCTCTTTAAAGAAAGAAATGAAGACAAGGCTACAAATGAAATCAAGAGTTACTCGTACCTCTTATACTTTAAATACAATGACAAACACGTGAGCTGCTACTATTTTCTGCAGGTACAAATCTTAATTATTCATCATTAAAATGATATGATTCAGTAAAGTGACAGCTTGTTCTAAGACTCCCTCAGCACTCTCTCCAAATGTCACAATGCTGACCTATGAAAGCACCTTGTCATGTTGAACAGTGTTGGGATGATTAAATTAGTCCCAATGGGATCCATCACTACCTGAAGCCTCCATTCAACAACTGCAATGGGCCTCTCACCCATGAACGAATGACGAAGTCATAAAACAATCCTTGTGTCCTTAACATTACAACATAGTCTTTCCACTTGGAAAAGCTATTGGCCAACAAGTGTGCAAGGGAAAAAAAGGTTTGGGTTTTGCCTTTTTTCCCACGCACACTGAAAAGGCTTGTAAGAGGATTTTTGAAAATGCGATTTGTTGACTCACTAAGAGGTTATTTGTCATCCTTAAATCCTACTGATGTAACACTACTTTTCCTGTTTCACCCGAAAAAGCCTCATTTCATTCCACATCAGAGTAATTCCAAAAAAGGTTTGACCAGAGAGAGACGCCAAGAATGATTAAGATAAGAACTAAACAAGTTGAACACTGTTATATTTGCTTGTAGGGATAAAAGAACACACGCATGCTGCAAATTGAAACTGTTTATTTCATCCCTACAAATATCATTGTCATTGAAGTCTTGACAAAGTGATACTTTCACTGCTTCTACTTATAATGTATCCTGTGTCTAACAGAACAAAGAATATATAAAGTTGACAGCGTGTACATGTACGGCAAAGGAAACTGTATAACAAGCCTCTTGGCACGTTGGATATGATTCCACACACCTATAAAACGGGGCAAAGAGGACGTAGGAATGTAGGTCACAGTGGGTTTGGTGCTAGCTGGCATGCCTCTTTCTGATTTCTATGTCACTGATCCGGGCAGACTGGGGCCTTTCACATTACATAGTCAACTGACCCATTTTTAGTAAAAAAGAATGAGAAAATATGTTGTTTGTCATTTGAGTGAGCCACACTTTAAAGAGAATTCCACCACAATTGAGTTCATTTAATGCATTTTGTCAAACTAAACGTCTGTTTGTTCTTACTTTCTTTGTTATATTATTATTTCCACCAAATAGCAGTGCAATAAGCTACCACTGTGTTTTTAATTATTGTATTCAGACAGTGCATTTGTAATTGCATTTGAAACAAATCCATAAAGATGTGAATGAAGAGTAGACTTTCAGCTTTAAGTCAATAGGGTTTAACAAAAGCCAGCCATTTTATAAATAGACACTATATTTTCAGAGGCTCAAAAGTAATTTGACGAACATCATTATAAATATAAGGATTATTTTGAATAACATGAAGGAAATCATATTATTGCTTGGACCACATATGCAGTTCCTGCTACTGTTGGTGTCTTAAGGACCACAATTAGTCATTATGACACACAGACACATACACACAGACTCACAAGGTGCAACAATATCTGTTGCTGTCACAGCCGATAAAAACACTAGTGACCCAGTTCCACTGGCAGCCATACAAGCTTATACCAAAACAGTGGTGGTAATCCCTCTGTACTTACAACAGCAAGTTTTTCTTCCCCAAGGAGACAATTCTGCAATCCTCTACTTTTTCGTCATTTTCCATGGTCTTGGGTATGTGCCAGTACATTCCAGCTTTTTTAACAACGCACCAAATTGTTAGTTTTGGCACAACTACAATTTTTGCTCTTTCTCATTGGTTTGTTTTGCCCAATAATGGCCTTCTTCACTTACTTCCTCAAGGAGTTCCATAAACAGTCATTTACAACATGTTTTAGGCTGAAATGTTCACTACCGGAAGTGGCTATGCTATCGGATATAGCCACATGAATGCACACCCCACACGTGCTCTTGGGCAAGAGTGAGTGCAATGTGCCCCTGGGTACGTGAACACGCCTCAGAGGAGAGTATCAGAGGACATTTAGGCTACAAACATGGTATAAATGACGCCAATTCGAATCTGAATGTCAGAGTTTGCTGGGATGACACCACACGAGCAGAGGGGAGGCATGTTGTGTTTTTGTATTACGTCTGAAGTGTAGTATACAATTGGATTCTGCTGCAACACTGTTTACTCCTGAGAGTCCAGAAGTGTTTTGTGGACTTAAACACCATCATGCCCTTGATCGTCACAGTGGTGAGTAGATAAGGGAATTTTCATTGCCAACTATCTCTTTAATCTGTTATGTTACTTTTGAGACTCTGCACATGGAACGACTATGTATAAAATGGCTGTAATTCCTGAACAATTAATGTTCTATTTTTGTTAAATCCCTTGATTTTAAGTAGGCTGCCCTGTTGAAATTATTTGCTCCACAGAAGGAAACAAATGGATTGAAGATAACAAAGGTCTCTGTGACAGCAACATTCACAATGCACATACTGTATAAGAGCCATCAAGGCCTCTAGCAGTTGAGCAAATCAGGTGTGAATATTTCCTCTCAGCTCAATTTAAAAATCCTCCCACATTAATATGATCTTTGCGGTGACAATTTTCCCTTGGTACCTGCAACATTTCCATATGAACTGAACAGAAAACAGAAACCACTTACAGCACAGTTGAGACATGATTGAAATTCTGCCTACATAAGGACTGTACTCTGCTTCAGAACAATAACCCAAACTTTACAGTGGAAAAGTACTTCACAAGAATCACAGTACTCTAGTTTACATCAAATGGATGTTTTCACTTTGTACTGAAACAGTACTCTGGAAAAAAGCATTTGGGTTGAGACTATAGGAATACATGAGTGTGTAAAACATAATTTTCTTGCTATGCTATGTGAGCAGGATCTGTGGGGGTCTGTCCCACTGTCCTACTTCCATTCTTGAGAATTCCCTCAGTGGTAACATGAGCCAAGTTCAGTGCTGGTGTTTTGGAGCCGCCAATATCAGAGGCCTCTGCTTGAGGCTCTAAGAAAGCCACCCTCTTTCCATTTGACCGCCGCTCTCCTGACTCTGCCTCTCTGGGGTCTGAACAGAGAATCATGGCTCGTCCGCCACACCCTCTCGATCCGCCCCGGCTTTCTCTGCACCTACAGGGGGTGAGGTAGAGGTAAAGTAGCACCAATATGATGCTGACCACACAGGAAGCAAGGGTGGTGAACGCAGTGTTGAAGTGCTCTGCGCCACTGCGATGTGCCAAGCCACTCGCAGATGAAGTGCTCAAGTTTCCGACCACAACACTGACCTCAACAGATTCGTGGGGGTCATAGTGGCGGTGGCGGGCTGCCACACACCCATATGTACCAGAATCCTCCATGAGTGCTCCTTGGATTTCAAGGGTGCCATTGGGGAGAACTATTAAGTGGGCACTTGGATCATTTGTTGATGAATTCACTATAGTGCTTGGGGTAACCCAGAACACCACAAGGCCCTCCTGGGCTGAAGATGCCAACCCTGGACATGGCACTCTCAGCCATTTACCAGGCTCCTCTTGGTAACTCTGTGACTCAAGGGGCATATTTGACACTCCCTGCTGGATACAAATAGGCCCTGGTCCAGAATCATCCATACATGGGTATTCATCTCTGAAGTCCATCAGGGGTTGGTACTGTTTCCACATCCAGTACTCAAGCAAGGCGAGTAAAGCACAGTCACAGACCAAAGGGTTTTCCTGCAAATAAATGCTACCTTGCCGGGTGAGAGACAGCAGACTCTGGACAGGCAACTTAGAGAGCCTGTTGTAGGACAGATCAAGAAATGTCAGATTACGGGGCCCTCCAGGTTCCCAATACAACCCAAAGGGAAAAGTCTTCAGTTTGTTACCAGAGATGTAGAGCCTCTGCAAGCTGTGAAGATCGCTGAAAGCCCCTGGATTGATCAGGACAATCTGGTTGTCATACAGTAGGAGCTCTTTCAGCTCCTTCAACCCAGTGAAGAGGGACGTGTTCAGCACTGTTATTTGGTTAGATGACAGGTCCAGGTGCAGGAGATGTGGAGTGACATTGAAAGCATTTACCTCAATTTGGCTTATGGCGTTTCGGCTAAGAACCAGTGTAGCGAGTCGGGCAAATTGTTGGGGAATCCAATCTGTTGGCAGGGTAGTGATAACATTGTGGCTCAGGTCCAACAGTGTGGCATAGCTTGGTAGATCAAATGGTGTTGTGGACAGATTGCGGCCGCTGCAGGAAATTATATCACTGGCGCAAAGGCAATAGGGTGGGCACACAGCCACAGAGGGAGGGAAGCCAAGACACAGGAGGAGCACCAAGGCTGCAGCAGGAGGGTTGCAATGGCGGCCTCCAACATTGGTCTGGGCTAAAAGCTGTGACGCAATAGGGCGCATCCTGGTCTTCCCTCAGGGTGGGATCTCAGGTCACTGTCTCACTGGGTGTACACATGTCAGGCTTAAAAGCATCTGATAATTTAAAGCTTTTATGAACTGAAGAGAGAAAACAAGAGATACAGAAAAAAGGAAATTAATCTCCTTGTGTTTTAATCTACCATCATTTATTACAATGGTAAATATCACCATACTGTTTATCAAACAGAATGCACAATATGATAGAATCATAAAACCATTAAAATATGTACACAAATCAGCCACACTGTTAAAACCAGTTTTTAATATGGATGATCAGCGCATGTTATTATAATAAGCAAAAATTATAAATTAAATGTAAATAAACAGTAGGAACACATAGTCCCAGCATATGAATGAAAATATAACACAGGGAAAGGCATTCTATGAATGTAACTCTAAAAATAAATAATGATCCACATTTAAATCCATCAGTGATCACTGCTGGCATCATCTGCACATGACAACTGTTAGAAAGTGCTGGAACAAGTGTAACTTAATCCATACAACACCAACAGAATACAGTCTGCTGCTTGCTTTAGCCCACATCATGTGTTTTTATAAAAACAATTATTTTCATACCTTTTTCCCTTCACAAGGTATTCCTCTAATATTTAATTTCTGTTGTTCTCTCTGTTCACGTAATGATGATTCAGTAAGCGATAAGTAATCAGATTAACAGTAAACAAGCATGAACATTGTTTAGAGCTGCAACAGTTAACCCATCAATTGATTGGTTACATATCAAAGGAAAATACATTTACAATTAATTTTTACAAATCAAGCAATAAGTAATTTCTTGGGAAAAGAAATTGCTTTTTCTCCTTATTTGTATGCCAATGTAAACTGAATGTAGAATGTTGAACTAAACAAGTCTTTTAAAGAGGTCACGTTTGGCTCTGATAAAATTATGATGAGATGCATTTATACTGCAGACTTGTTTCATACCTTGTGAAGTTAACAGAACATAATAAAATAATGTATCAATAAGAAATGAAAAAGAAAGTGAATCAAATAAAATATATACATATATATATATATACACAGTATATATATATATAATAGAATCTGGTTGTGGGTAAAAACGAATTAATATCACTATAATTGCTGTTGCTGTTATTACTATTAGAATTGAACTCGGTCCTTTCCTCTTCTCTTCCTGCACATGACTGGGCTCGGTGAGAGATGACAGGCAGCGGTTTGCGACTTCTGTGGAACCCAAACAGAACAAACAATGAACCCAGCCGACAGCTCACCTCCGCGCCCACACCGCTGCCTCTTCACAGCATCGTCTCCACGTCCAGACGCAGAACCACGTCCCGCTTGAGAATCCAACAAATCCGAAACGCAACTTCGTCGCGCTCATCTGGTTTCTTCCACCGAAGCAGATAATCCGCCGTGAGTGTGCGGGAGGGGGGGGGGGGACAGGGAAGCGGCGGCTGAACTGCTCACCTGCAGGTCGAGTTGCTTGTCGTTGTGGGAGGGGTCGTCCTGAGAGTAAATACGGATCTGAACAGCAGCCAACACGCCAATAGTGAGAGAGGGGACGCTGCCAGGAGGAGGAGAGGGAGGTGGTGGAGGAGGAGGAGGAGGAGGAAGCCTCAGCGCCACATAAATGATTCTTCCAGCTGGATTGTTTAAATCAGGTTCAAATGAGTCAAGTTAACCACCAGGATGAAATTCATGTATGAAAAATGATTCCTTCATGTATAAGGTAAATTCAAACCACACCTGAGAGGCAGACGGTCGTATTAATCCTAAGGAGCACTTTGATTAATCTTCTGATTGAAATGCATATCCTGAATATATATTAAACATATGTGCATGGTATTTTTGTTTTAAGCCTAACCTGCAAACTGACAGAAAGAAACTTTCCTGGTAGCAGAATAAAGCTGCACTGATCAATACAAATTCCAACAATGACTCGAATACGAGCATGGAATGTGAAAGGGGGTTGCCAGTAATGAAAAACACCCACAGAGTATTATCCCTCTGCAGTTCACCTGAATTATGTAGAACATTGTAGTGTCTCTCTGCTCATTGATTTGGCTTGATGAGCCACAACGCTGCTGTTTTGATTCACATCCACTACTCTCATTAACACCGACTGTAGCAGCCACAGGCAAAAAGAAAAAAAAGAAGAAGCTTTAAAGCCACTGCCACCTACACAGCACCAAATGGCAAATAACATCAGTGAATAGCTGGTGAACATAGTGGAGAATGTTGCAGGTAAAGAGCCACATATTTCCCTCAAGAGTTGGTGGAGCCCGAAATCGGAGATAATAAGTAGAGTAAATATTACAATTACCCTAGTGGAGTGGTCAGAATCACTCAATGTCTGTACAAAGGAATTCTTCCATCCAATGACTGACTTAAATTCAGGTAATATTCCTGTAGAACAAAGAGATCTGCAATGGTGTTACAGTGGTAATAACACATGAAAACTCCCTCTCACAGACAGAAACCAACTGCTTCTATGTGTGACGGGCAGTCTGTGTTAAATTAAAAGATTGAGATGTTCTTGCAAGCCGCTCATAACCCCTGAAGAGATTGCCAACCATGTCCACGACTCCAGCACTGTGCTGTTAATGGTAGCTTGCCAAGGACGATTTGGTTCATTAGAGATAACATCATTGTAATTAAGCATCTGTGACCTTGAAGATGTCTTTTTGATTTTTTTTTTTTCTAACAGAGCCGCAGCTTTGTCATTGCTGGGTCGCACTGTGATCTCACAGTTTATATCAGATTCTAGAAAAATGAATTGACTTGTGGAAGGCAAACAAACATTGATGCAGCTTAAAAAAAACATACCCCTTTTAAACTGTAAAAGCAGAGCAGCGTTTTAGGATTTGCTTGTTGAGGCAGAATATTGCATGGCATTAAATTGTGCAAAGTGTTTAGCCCACATAATCCCCATTATCCGAGTAGTGTTGGAAAACAAAATTGCTGCCTTATTTATTGACTTTATGTTGCCACATTTGGTCTAAGTTGTTCTCCATTAACAATGACACTGAAAACTTTATTTTCTTAAATGCTTTCTATCTGTGCAACAGAGGCTGTTTACCACTGTGAATGTGTTACATCAAGCAGATGGTGTCTTTCATGCCACATCAAAGTATTCTTCCACCTAATCAGTTTGTCAAGGTTGTAAGCTGTGTGCCTGGAGATCTAGCTGCGGTGCTTTTCCTTCCCTTTTTGTTTTTTGTTCAGTCCTGTAGATCAATATAAAAAGCCAACCCAACACCTGACAGAAAAAAAATCAATCAAATTCTCATTTCTGAATATGAGTCGAATATATTAACTGAAAGAGAAGTGAGAATGATGCCTGCTGTCTTAGAATCCCGACTGCTGTGTAATCACAATGTTCTTGTAATTATGAGCTTCCCACCCGGGACACCGTGACAGGCAAATCGCCATGGCGCCGAGCGTCAAAGGGGATGGCCCCCGGGGAATTTTTATCTCTGTCCGTCTTCGCTCCACAATCACAAGGTCAGGTTGTTGGTAAGCATGATTGGCTGGACCAACAGATTTATCTGTCTGTTCTTTGATATGAGAATATTGCAGCAGTAATGATCCACATACAGAAAGAAAGAATATTCTCGGTCCATTCAGTCCTTCACTTTGCTACAATCAGTTCAGCTTTACTTCCTGCAACTGTGGATTTCAGTTCGACTGGATTTCAACTTTCAATCCACTGGCTCAAACCACTTATTACCTTGCAGAATGATGAGGAGAACCATCCTATCATCACAATTAGAAGACACAAAAACATCCTGAACTGTAGACAGGAGGTAAACAGCATTAGACGTTTTTGCAAGATAAAGGGAGGCATAAAAAGAAGGACTGAATTTACTATTTATGATGTCGTCTTTCCATTTCCAAAACAGATACTGTATTACTGTCAGGACAAGCCCTTTCCAATTTGCCACTTTGGGAAATATGGCTATTTGCTTTACTATCAAGGGATAGAGAGGATTGCTACTTTACTCTCATGTTGGTCCATTTGACAGTACAGATATAATAGATTTAGCCAGAAACATTAGGAAACTGCTTACTTTGCTATGTCCAAAAGTAACTTAAACAGCTGTACTTACGAGTACATCTTCAGCTCACATAAAAAAACAATTTGTGGAGACTACAATGAGTCTCTGCCCAAGAAATTAGTACATGACCCATTGTAAAACCGCAACTTGTCATTTTCACACTTTGTGTCAGACAAGCTGTAACATGCTCGATTTATTTTTAGATGTTTAGATGGATGTAGTCTCCTTAAGAACTATAGCTCGCTGCTCAGTCTTTATTCTAACGTTAGATTGTGGGTTCCTGCGGCTTCATATTTACAAATAGATTAGAGCAGAATCAACTCCTCATCTTAATAAATGTGTGTCAATATATATGTGTCAAACTAATACATTTTTAAGGTTTGGAATTTTTAAATTTCTTAAAGACATTTCAACATCAGTATTTAGCAAATAAAGAGTCCAAGGTTGTTGTTTTTTGTCTAGTGCTCTCTGACTCTCTCACACACACACCACACACACACACACACCACACACACACACACACACACAGGATGAAAATGAGAAAGTACAGTAATGAGGTTACAAACTCAAAAAAGATGCATCAACCTCACAGAGGGATGCATTAAGGCTACAATTATGCAATTTTATTGAATAATCATCCTCAAATTGAGAACATGTAAATGTGTTTAGAGCTGCTGTGGATTCAAAAACATGGAATTTTGGCATTAATGTTCCCCCACTGTGACAGAACTATCAAGTATCAACTGTCTCCATTTGAAGCAATTGAACTTTGAGTATCTAAAACTTTACTGTGCTTTGAAACACTAGAATAAATGAGCCCACTGATGAATGGGAAAATCATCCATCCACCTTCTGAATACAAACACTTGGAGGATGCTAGTATTAAATCATTAAGCTGATCGTCTCTTTGAAAGTTTATATGGAATGAGGCAAACTGTGCACAGTGGTTGCTAAGCCATAAAAGGAGCAATTAATGTAAAACTCTGACATGCAGTGTATTAAGGAAACACTGCCCTTCAAAACTGTCCCTCCGTTTTAAAAAACACTGCTGTGTGCTGCTGTTAATGATGACCCTTCAAACACCACAGGGCTTAGGCCCCGCAAGAGTGCATTTAATGGAAGGAGCGGCCATACTTGATTGAGTAGAGATAATTACTGTTAGGGTTTACAAGTCCATGTGTGAAGGGAGAGAGAGACAATGTTTTCCAGTATGCAGTATGTATCTGTGTTAGTTGTTATGGCATTCAGGGCTTGTTGTTGCATGCAGCTGGTACCGCAATAAGTCTTAGTGATAAATAATTCCCCTACTCAGAAAAATATGTGCCATGATACTTCTGGACATATATGAAGACACTTTCTGTCAAGGCATGCAGCATGACAATTGATAGAATATATTTCCTATTACTCTATGCTTTAGCTTTACTGCTCTAACATTTAAACACATCTTCATGCCACACTGTTTCACTGGCTTCATTACTGCTTAAAATACTGCCAAGTGCAATAAGAGTGTATCAGTCCAGATCTGGAAATGTACACATTATGATCACACTGTCTACAAGCTACATTTTAATATGCAGGAAAACACTGTTCTTCTCCTCGATGCGTATGTAACTTGAACTGAACATAAGGTTAAATACATGTTTTAATAAGTGAACAGCTGGCGTTGACATGATCATATTTTGTACTTGCGGTTACAGACTCCAAATTTTGAGAAAAATGTCATTTCTAGTTGCCTTATGTACACAAGGTAACTGCAGTATATCCAGTTGCACTTTGTGTTATTCATTTAGGAACCACTTGCCTATTTTTAACAACTATATTTTCATACCACTTGAGTGCAAACTCAGTATAGACCATGATGGCTGGTGTAATACCCCCTGCATATTTGGCCTCGTTCACAGCTGCTTACTGCCTTTATGACATGTCTGAGTTCAAACAACAGTTCTGTTTTGCACTAGAAACACTGAAGTAACAACCTGCTCACATTTCTGTCCAGGTCAAAAGCTGCCTACCACCTGTGAGTGTGTGTAAAATGGGTGGGTTTAAATAATGCATGAAGCACCTTGCAGGACCATCATGACATTGAGTGTCCAAGCCTCCAACTGCTACTGTGAATAATAAGGAATAAAAAGATTAATGCGAGGTATTTTAGGCAATAATGTGATTCAGTAAACTCATCAAACCCAGAGAATCATTAACCACAAACTCTACAGATGCAAGGCAAACACCAGCATCTTAGCTTACATGTGACCTTTGACCATTTTTGGGTTAAAGGCGATGCATCATTTTGAAGCTGAAACCAAATTGTTAAAAATGCAATCCAACACCCATCCACAGTGTTATTTACTACAAGAGCCTGTTGACAGAAGAGACAAAGCCAAAGAGGTCTAGACATGAATATCAACATAAATTGATGCAGTGGGATGATCACCAGTCATTAACGTCCCAGATCAAAATAATGTGCATCATGCTTCTATAGCATATACATTATGTACTTATGCTCATTATGTATTATGTACTTGCTTTCCACTGCTGAAGACAG